TCATATATTCATATTCTTAATGGAAAATCCCATATCAAGAAAGATGTTTGTACTCACACCACTACCAATCCTGCATTAAATGCAATCCTTTTTTGTTAAGTCTTTCAATATATTATTGACTACAAGAAACAAATTTTTAAGCTTAACACCAAACACTGATGAAGCCAGGTTCCTTTATGAAGAGCTTATGTCAAAAGAAAAATCTTTTGAATCTCCACGCTTGGAGAGACTGATGAAAAGACCAGAAAAAGATTCACTCATCTTGAACTGAACAGCAAAACCATAGCTGTATTACAGAGTTATGAATGACATTTTAACCCTATGGGTACAGCAAGGGGTAAAAGTATGCATGTTCCAATCTTTTTATAGTTATATTTAAATTTAATTAAACAATTTTATCATAATAGGTCAATAAACTTGGCATAAAATTGTAGTTTATAATTCAAAGGCTTTATATTGTCTAAGATTTAGTTTCTCAATTTAAAAGTTAGCATTTTTCTACACTGAAAATGTAATTCCAATAGACACCTACCTCCTCTCACAAAATAGCTTTCTCGACAAGCACTGCCCTCTATTGGAACAAAATAGCTTTCTTGACAAGCACTGCCCTCTATTGGAACATATTTTCAATGCACGCAACTAGCCTTCCACCTACCGCTTTTGCATGTCCACATGCAAATGACCATGCAGCAACTCTCCACCAAGAGGAGCGCAAGCAACACTGCATTGCATTAAAATCCCCTTTTATTTAATAACTCATCATGTTTATAGCATGATCATACAATATTAAGAAAACTAGAACATGATAGTTTAACTTAGGGATTTGAATTACTTGTTAACATTCCATTACAAAATCTGGGTGTTACAGCATTCGTCTATCACGTGGAAGTCTTGCGTTCAAATCCCAGTGGGATAGGGTTTTTATGTCAAATTTTTTTAAATATTTATTATCATTTTTATGGAAAGCTCTTTGAATATTCAGAAAAGTACAAATATCATTATTCTATCTATCTATATATATATATAAAACAGCAAATGTCTCTCTCTCTCTCTAGATTCATTCCTTATGCACAGTCATGTCTTTAAAGCTACAAATTCCAAAACTTGAGGTATATAATTTTTAATGAAGTATGTCTATTTGTATGTGAATTTCTGAAGTATTTGCTGAGTTCATCTGAATGAAAAGTGATTTTTATGCTAAAACTAGCTGAATGTCCATCATATAATGGTAAATGCTGATAAAATTTCTTTCCAAAAATAAAATCTAAATAATTATTTTATAAACATGTTTTCTGTAAATGGATTATATTATAGTAGCAATATATGTATAAGGATTATAATTTTTTTTGGTATATTTGGTCATCTCCTGTAAATAGTTCTTGACTAGAATTTTGACTTGTGTATATTTTCATGTTATGCTCAAATCTGCTTCTTGATAAAACATTAAAAATTGAACATGCATATGTAGAAGAAAAAGAGAGGGAAGAAAAAAGCAGAGAGAGGGGGGAGAGAGCAAAGAGAGAATGGGCAGAGAAGCAAATGAAGGCTCCGTGAAGTTTTTAAATCGTTGTAACACATAATTGATCATGGATAGAATGATTAGGAGAAGTCCTCACACAGAGAAGAAATGTAAATAATAGCCCTCTCAAACACACATTACCAAAAAATCTGGCCTTTTCAATTTGAGACCAATTGGTTGTCCTGTTTGCCAAAAATTGCTATATTGGTCACTTTGGCCTCAAAATAGCCTCTGAGGCTGCGGCCACATAGTCCATGTTACTTCCCGCATAATGTTGTATGTGATTTGTTTTGTGCATGAAAGACTTTTCATGTTTACCAAAATCTGTCAAATTTTGTGAAGATAGACATAGTAAAGTTAAAAGTCTAGTAAACATTACTTTTCCAATATGGTATCAGTCCCATACACACTGTGTTAAAGAACAGCCTACTATTAGAAACATTGTTTCTGGCACTGTTGCTGCTTCCACTGTCAATGTATATACTGCAAGGAAAGTAGGAATGAAGATCTTTTCATTTACAACTGGAAAGTCAACCGAAGAGTATAAACTCAAGAAATCAGATCAAGTTATCATTTTAAGTTCAAAAACAGCTGTGAAAATTGATTATGATTATGCCAAAGTAGATGAGTATTTACTGCTCCAAGAATTGATTTTAGCAGCAAAGTAATGTGGAGATGACCTTAAACAGCACTTTTATTACCAGCTACACATAAGTGCTTTTTGAACCACCTATATCAAATTGCAGTAAGGAGATACAATTCTGGTCACTCTCATCTGAGCAGCGGCCTTCAGGTAGGCTAACTGATTGGTGGAAATATACAATATATTTTGGATGAAGGTGCTCTTTTGCAAAGAGAACTATGGGCATAAGACCTGACATATGGTAGATAATGTAATTTATATGTAGATTACATAAAGAGAAATTATAATAGCAACATTGCAATCATACTCTAAACTAATGACACTTCATATTTTAGAAGAAATAAGTGCTACTATATTGTTCATAAAATGTGTATGGAGGGAAAAAAAAAGAGAAGCAACAGGCCTTTTAAGGCATCAGCAATTTTTTTTTTTATAGTGTTATAAAAGCAAATAGAATTGTTGATCCAGCCAAGTCTTCTCCAATTGCAGTGGCTAGACAGTATCACAGCCTTCAGGTATACCATCATGGTGAATGTTGGATGGAAACCATCTAGACCTATACAATGGGGGTGGAAGGTTATTGGTGAACAGACTTGTTCCAATAAGTAAGGATCTCTCAACAGTATCCTGATCAACTATCGAAAATGATCTAAAATTGGATGTCATACTGACAAGTGTTTTTTGCAAAATGAATGACTTTGAATACAGCATAGCCTATGAGAACAGCAAAAGATAATGCTGTTCGAGTTCTCAGATTTTAATTCTAGAACAAAATGAAGAAGAGGAAATAATATTGTAACATTTTTTTTTTAATTTAGAAAATTTTATTTAAAAATTCATGGCTGAATAAATGTGAATAATTCGATGATGACGAACCCACTTTGAGACTAATAATGCTTGGAGATGGCTTGAATGGGTAATGAAGAAAAACACCTAATGATGACAAAACCTTGTTGAAACGTTGTACATTTGCTGTTATGTTAAATTTATATTAAAGCTTTTCTTCATTACCCTTGCAGGAATGTACAAAAATTCCAAAAGTGAAAACCAAAAATTCTTCATTTTTATAATTTTTTGTCATGAAAATTTGATTTTAAGTATGAAAAATTACATTAAATTCAATTCTGAAGTCAGATTTACTGTAAAGGGTTTCCAAACTGGGATCAATTCATGTATCTTCTAGAATTAGTGAAAATTTGTTTTCCTAGTTGAAAATTCTGAAGTTACAATTCAGTGAAACTAAGCTGGAATCTAGAAGTTCTATCTTAACTAATAATAATGCTACTGGATTATAAGAAAGAAACAAAATCATGTAAGGTCATGATTCTTCACATTTATAATGCTTGGAGACAGCTTGAATATCATGTTACTAAGACCTTTTGGTATGTTATTAAGCAATTTGTTTTGGACAGGATACTACCTAGAAAAATGCTATTTCAATATTTTTAAGATTCAACCCTATATTTATTGGACTATTAAGTCTTATTCTACTGTCAAAGACAAGGGAAAAATACTGAACTGTATAGGCCTTTCTTGAAAATCACAACTGAGAAATTAAAGTTCATAAGAAAGGGTACCAAACAATGATTCACAAAAGAAAGCATTTTATCTCAATCAATCTGAGCTTATCTGGTACCATCAGATAAACTAGAGCTGCTGCTTCTGTCCTAGTGCTGCCAGCAGATAATTTTACAGATTCAGGTTTGTGTTCCACACAGAGAACCTGTACCCTAATCATCAGTGTTGAATGTCCTAAACCAACAGTGATTTTTGCAAAACAGAAAAAGAAGGAAGATAAAAAGTTTTGCTAGTGATTGCAATGAGTAAAAGCAGTTATGCATGTGATACTCCTCATCTTACCTCAGATAAAATGCTGGACAACAAAGCATGGTATAGGGCTTTCTTGAAGCATAATCACACTACAGTACAAAATTAGGGAAACACAACATGTGTGTGCAACTGAAAAGGATATGGACTTGACAAAATGTTAGACCGTTTTTCTAATTTGTGGCAACTGCAGAAATGAGGGCAAAATGCCCATTCTTACACACCCTTTTGGGTACACTAAAAACATGAACAACCAGGACAGTAGAAGGGGGAAAATGGTAACTCTAGGAAGCAGACAAAATGTTGTTTAGCCAAAGTAACTGAGAATCTAAACACCATTGAAATTTTTATGCTTGAAAAATAGTAATAAATGTTATCAATTTCAACATGTTAATTTGTTTCTTTTAAGGAGGAGGAAAGTTTTATTTTGGAGGGTCCCAAAAATTGTAAAGGAAAGGTTTCATTTTTTTAATTGGGATGCACACACCACAAAATTTTAAAAAAAGCTTACCTACCCTACCTGTTTAAGGAAAATAGGATACAAATATGTATGTTTTTGCCCTAACCATTGTTATTTGTTATTATCACGCTACTTTGGCTTACGTGAATCATTTCTATAAACTGCTTATGTTAAAGTACGGTCAATCATAATTTTCTTTCACTCCTCCTGAATAATAAAACAAATTAAGGTACAAATTATTATTCAAAGAAATGTAAGGAATGAAAATATCTGACAATCTAAAGTGTGCCTCTGTACATTTTGTAATTCTGTTTTATAACTATAACAACAATGAATAATCATATTGAAGTCTTCAATGTAAGTCTAAAATATGATTTGTTTCCACTGTTCAAAATCATCTCGAGATCACAATTGTGGATATAGGTTTTGTAATTTTTAAATTAACTATATTTTCTAAATGCTAGTTCTGTGGAGGTGGTACTTGATTTTTTATGTACACCATAATTATAGACTATGATTCCATAAATGTATCTAGCCTCCTATATACTTACTATTGCTATCTTGAGGTGTCAATGGTCGCTCTAATATTTTCTCAATTACATCCATCCATTCTTTTCGCTCTTCTTCTGTATCTGCACCCACAACAAATGATCGTTCTGGAGTCTCCAAAATAAATCCAAATCCAGATTCCTTTATACCAGCTGGAAGAATTTTATGCAAACAGAAACCATCCCCAATATAACCTAGGAATATTTCACCTTTAGGATAAGGGTCCTGAAAGAGAAAGCATAACAGCTTATGTAATAAACAGCTGAAATATATATATATATATTTAAAGTAAACTGTGCATTACATTAAAACCAGTACTTACCATTAACCCTATGTGTATAGGTGAGGGTCAAAGTGAGCGTGCCACAATCTTTTACAGTGCCATTCAATATGATATTATATATTTGATGTATATAAACTATATATTTTACCTTACCTTGCTGAGTCAGCAACACTTCACGGTAGAGGAGAGTAAATACCAGATACAATGTACAGGGCTATTGAAAAAACGTGTAGGTATGCATTTTAAGAGGTTCTAGAGGTTATGGAAATGCAATACGTAAACTGCACAATGGACAAAAGTATTTTTATTCTTCAAACGAGAAGCACCTTGCACTTGAATTGTTACAATCTGAATCATACTTACATCATCAATTCACAGCCATATCTGGAGTACAAATACTTCTGTAACACATTTTTTATGTACAATAGACTTGCAGTATTTTGTGTAGATACACATAGTAAATTTGGAATAACAGCCAACGTTCCTTCTGGTTGGTTTAGTGGATCAACATCATGCACATTCAGTTAAATGGACTGTAAATTATGTAAGTCAATTGGGCAAAAAAAAAAAAAAAAATCACAAACCCAATTACCTTAGGGTTTTTTATTCCTTACATGCAGAAGGAAGATTAATCCACTGTACAAGACCAAACCAACCACACTGAAGACACTCAAAATAGTAGCAAGTTTGATTGGAACTAATAAACCATGATAAAAAGTGCTCCCAGAATACAGAAATGTTATAAAATTAGGAGATGCAGTGACATGCATTATAAGATTATCATCTTGATTGCCCATTATACTACCAAGCGAAGCTTAAAATACTTTTTAAGATTAAAAAATATGATAAATGCACAAATGTACACTGCAGTAATAAAAACACACTGAGAAAAACAAGACTATGGAAAGGCAATTGTTTTTATAGATGATCATTTTAAGAACAATTATTTGTTTTTCCCAAAATCCACAGAACCACCATCTTATTTAATTACTGGCTGCTTTTGGTTTTTGTAAAGACTCAAACCAAAAGTTTGATACTGAATAAGTAATTATGAATATAAATTATTACCACCCCAACAAATCAAGACATCATACACCCAAGGAGTCAGTGATTCATGAAGAAGCAGACTAAGTTTTCAGAGTTGGTTTCAAGAGTTACAAGTGTGTGGTAAAAAAAGTTTATCAAGTTAAATTATTCTACTAGGTTTCTGAATGAGTGGTAACCTTACTTTTTGGCCTTACATTCAAAGATATTGTAAAAGTGGTGCAGAAATAAATTTAACATTATTTTATCTGGCTTGTATTTTGCTAAATGTACTTTACCAAATTCTAAAAACAGGATCCATACTAGTTCAGACCTAAAATATTATTTCAAATATTGAATTTACTATTACTCTTACTAATAAACTTTGAGCAATTACGTTTCTAGGTTTCTCAATTAAGATTATGTATTAAGCATTGTTTTAATTGATGAATTTATATTCAGTAGTAGTCATTAAACATCTTATTTTTCCATTAACTTCATAAAAAACTGTTTATCAATAACAACCAAATAAATGTACTGTATAATGAACAACATAAATATGACTAGATGTACTTCCACAGGGTCCCTGAATGTGTTCTGTTTCAAGAGTAAATAAAACCAAAATTATAAGTTACAAATATTTTTATTTCTTGCTTCTGAAGTTCATATGCTAAACTATATTGTAACCCACAGAGTGCATAATTCCTTTTGTGATTCATGGCATGCACACATTTTCCTGACTTCATGACAGTACGAACTTGCAATGTTAACCATCCCTTAAGTGATGTCATTTTAGTGTCTACTGATTGACAACACACTACTGTATAGTGATGTGAGTGGTAAAACAAATGACCTCTCCAGGCGGCCTTTGGCCCCCTTTTGGGGAAATAATGATTAAAAGCATTAAGCAAATTTCATGGTTTTAGCATTAGAGAAACAAAGAATCAAAGTCTTTTTCGATCTCCAAATACTAATTTATAGTACCTAGCATACTTAATCATATTTTCTACTTATTGAATATTACCAAAGC